CACGATATAGCGAAGAGAAGAAGCATCCTTTTTTTGGCCATCGCACGCTCGCACTCGGTAATCTACCCCAGATACCACTGTACAAGTGCGCCTGTGCATGTCCACAGGTCTTTTCCTCGCTTCCAGTACTCGTACTGGCCCGATCTCAATTGAAAAGGATGAAGCTATGAAGGCTTTGCACAAAGTGCTGCGTTACAAGTTCTCACTTGGGCAAACTACAGCAAGTACTTTGCACGAACCACGTGGTTCACGTGCTTGACACTTTAGGAAGGGTGGATTCAAAAGGATGAAGCTGTTGAGGCATAACATTATATTGAGGTAAAGAGTGGCACTTGCCTACGGTTCGACGAAGACCCCTGCAACCGCAGTAGCTGCCACGATATAGCGAAGAGAAGAAGCATCCTTTTTTTGGCCATCGCGCGCTCGCACTCGGTAATCTACCCCAGATACCACTGTACAAGTGCGCCTGTGCATGTCCACAGGTCTTTTCCTCGATTCCAGTACTCGTACTGGCCCGATCTCAATTGCATGCAAAGCATGCGAGCCCCGACGCATGCCTGCTGGTTCAAGGTCACGCGTTCTTTTAAAAAACGCCAGCATCGGTCGACGATTCCTGCTACCCAAGATCCAAGATCCAAGATTTCCAGAAAGCTTTTTATATTGAGTTTCTTGAGACATGAGTTCAGACTTGAGTTCAGACTTGACTTCAGACTTGAGTGTCATAGTCTCGATTCCTGCTACCCAAGATCCAAGATTTCCAGAAAGCTTTTCTTGGAAATCTTGGGAAACCCAAGATCCAAGATCCAAGATTTCAGAAAACTTTTTTGGATGCACTTGCAGAATCTTGGATGCACCCAAGATCCAAGATTCAAGATTCCCAGAAAATTTTTCTTGGATGCAGGCTGGAAATCTTGGATGCACCCAAGATCCAAGATCCAAGATTTCCAGAAAACTTTTCTTGGATGCACTTGCAGAATCTTGGATGCACCCAAGATCCAAGATCCAAGATTTCCAGAAAACTTTTCTTGGATGCACTTGCAGAATCTTGGATGCACCCAAGATCTTGGATCTTGGGTTTATCCCAAGATTTCCAAGATTTCCAAGAAAAGTTTTCTGGAAATCTTGGATCTTGGATCTTGGGTGCATCCAAGATTTCCAGCCTGCATCCAAGATTCTGCAAGTGCATCCAAGAAAAGTTTTCTGGAAATCTTGGATCTTGGATCTTGGGTGCATCCAAGATTTCCAGCCTGCATCCAAGAAAAATTTTCTGGGAATCTTGGATCTTGGATCTTGAGTGCATCCAAAATTCTGCAAGTGCATCCAAGAAAAGTTTTCTGGAAATCTTGGATCTTGGATCTTGGGTTTATCCCGAGATTTCCAAGAAAAGCTTTCTGGAAATCTTGGATCTTGGGTAGCAGGAATCGAGACTATGACACTCAAGTCTGAAGTCAAGTCTGAACTCAAGTCTGAACTCATGTCTCAAGAAACTCAATATAAAAAGCTTTCTGGAAATCTTGGATCTTGGGTAGCAGGAATCGAGACTATGACACTCAAGTCTGAAGTCAAGTCTGAACTCAAGTCTGAACTCATGTCTCAAGAAACTCAATATAAAAAACCTATCAAATTCAACATATGAAAATAAGCAAATTATACTGTAATTTACAGTATAAATCAAGGAAAGGTAGGTACCAGGGGGGGGTACCATATATATACATATATATATAAAGATATACATATACATACATACATATATATATATATACATACATACATACATGTAAACATACACACACATGATTCATTTTAGACATATTTACATATTTGATGGTAGACTCAACAACCGTTGCCCAGCCGCGAGGCACCCGAGTCGAGGAGCGGAGCCATGGGTCAGGAGGAAAACAGAGTGGAATTGTCCAAAGACATGGGGACTTAGCTGGCCAAAATGGAGCTTCTAACCAACAAAGGGGGGCTTGACCAGCAACGAAAAGGGATTCAGTTCGTTGAAGCCATTTGGGGTGAAAATTCTCCACGTGAAAGCCTGGGTTGGGAACCCTTGGTGTGCTGAAACACCACCCTTTTTGGGCTGCGGTTTGACAAATAAATGGATTATACAACCGGAGTTATAGGAGTTAAATCCCAACTTATGGGGTTTATGACTTAGTTATAACCAAAGTGAAAAACGAGGGTAAACTCACATAGATGTGGACGCCATGGCCCATTGAGGGATGAATTACCTATAAAAATGGCGATGTTCCACATCTTTTCGCATGTTTAACTTAAACCCAGGGTACCTATGAATAGGAAACCCAACTGGCACCCCCTAGTAGGTTATATATATATATTACATATATATATATATACATATTACATACATATACACACACATATATATATATATATATCATACATATCCATATTACCGCGTTGTATCCCATAAAATCCTCAAAAGAACTTTGTTGGTGAAAAAACACCATATTTGCGGCTGTGTTACACCATGAAATCCAAGGCTTATAGCAGATGCTCAGCAGATTCTCATTATGTTTGTTGATCAAATCACCAGCAAAAGTCCCATAGAAAAAAAACATTTTTGTTGGTGAAATCCTATTAAATCCACCATGAGAAACCATCATCAAACCCAATCAAATTCCATAAAACCACCATTTTTGGTTGGTTAGGTCCTATTAAACCATCATTAATCCATCATTTTGGTTGGTTAAATCACCATGAAATCACCTCATTACGCACCTAGCACCTGGCTTCTTCCCGGTGCAGGAGCAGTGGTGTTTTGCTCCGCCTGTGGCAGCCGTGCGGGGCACAAGATGCAGCCAGGGGCGCCTGGATTCACCATCAGACAATGGTGATTTACAAGGTGGTGCCCCCCAGTTATAAGTTGGTTTATAATCCCATGAAAACTATAGATATATCACCTACAAAAACCATAGTTATTGGAGTTATGTTCACCAACTTAGCTATCTAGGGGGCACCACCTTGTACCCAACGTTTGAACGGGGCTGTGACCGGCAAAGATGGGGATTTCGCAAAAATGTTTGATGGGGATAGTGTCTGACAATGGGAATAGTGGGGATTGTAGTGGTTGTGGCTATTAATCATAATAATATCTGGATGATGATCCCCATTTGAATGGTATGTTTCAGGTTGAAGCCAGCAACCTGCAAGAATAAACTAACATAGCCATGGAAAATCCAAAATTTTTATAGGCAAATCTTTATTTTTATCATCTAGAAATGGTTCATTTTCCGTAGCTATGTTAAATAACCAGTGAATATCAACACATTTAGCATTTGTGGTGTTACAATGGTTTTAATAGTGGGTGAGTAATTGATGGTCAAAATGGTAGGCATATCGATTAATAATTCAGTATATAGTTGGGTGTGAACATTTACACGGGACCGCACATGTATGAACCATCTAATTTTACGGTGGAACTTTAACACATACTTGCATGATATAGCCTACGTTATCCAATGTTGCTACTGGAGGCGTTGGCAACCTCAAGCAATTGCAGCTTTATTCCTAGGTTTCCACCATTAATCCTTACCACTGGGTGGATCCATTTTGGGTCCCAGCTGTGCCTGCAACCATCTGCAACTTGTGGTGAACTATGATTGGGGCGACCAAAACTGCCGCAATTCCTTTCTCCTTCATATCAGATGCCCCAGAAAAGCATTGGATCTGTTTCTTGGTCTCAGATGGAATAGAGTTTGCCTCACAAACATCCCGCGTGTGGCCCCCCAAAATGACGAATACTTCCAAGACTACATCTCACCTGGATTCTCGGGTGGCTCGGGTGTTTGATTTTCACTTACCCTCTGGTAAACGTTTACATAACTGATGGGCAAATCATCATGCTATGGGAAAATCCACTATTTCAATTTGCCATCATTAATAACCATCATTAATTGAAATATCCATCATTAACTATCATTAACCACCAGTAACTATTAATGGCCATAATGATGGTTAATGATGGTTTTCCAGTTATGAACCATCATCAACCACCACTAACCATCCAGCTTCACAGAAGTGTCCTGTGAAAATTTTCTCCAACGACGATGGGGAAACCTCTGAGCCACCCAGCCGTTGTGACTTCCGGTCAGGGCAGATCCAGGGCCGGAAGGGGACAGGAGATGCTTCAAAATGGGGATGGGTCAAAACCCTGGTACCCCTAGTGAACCCCAAGTCATAGCTGGGATTTATGGATGTTCATCCCACTAAAAATGGTATTAATAGGTATTGACCCATACCCAAATGGCAGTTTTTTTTTCGGTGAAACCTGGATGAAGCGTGAAATTTTAAGGGACAGCCCATTCTCAATATTTAATGTTCTCCATTAAATATTGATAAATGTCCATCAAATAACATTCAACTAGTTGATGAACTATCAAGCCCAAAGGTTTAGCTCTTCAAGTCCTCGTGACCGCACATCGCAGCTCCAGCGGTGTGCGCATTGTTAGGATGAACATCCATTTACCAGCTAGTTTTGGTTCGTTCACCAGGGGTACATGCTTTTGATGCTTGAGAAACCCATGCCCATATGATATATAATATACAGTATAATGATACCCTCTGGTAAACTAACATAACTATGGAAAATCACCATTTTCAATGGGTATATACATCCACTATAAATGGCTATTTTCAATAGCTATGTTAGTCATTACCAGAGGGTACATCTGCACACATTAATAGTCAAAGCTACAAGATCTGGGCCTGTCAGACTGCCCTGGTTGGAATCCTAAGAGGCCCTGCTTCGCAGCACAACTCAGCAAATCGCGGCAAGACTGAAGACCTATGGAACCACCATGGTTGATATTTGACCATCAGAAAACTTTGGGCATCCCCAGTGTTCCCCATTCGAATGACTATTAAATAAGGTATCCCCGACTTTGAACAACCTATATAAATGCATGTAAAATTGGTCATATATCCCATTGTATCCGCAGTACATCCCCATTACATCCCCATCGTATGTGCTTGCGCATTTGGACTTTGCCTCACATGCTGCTGTTCTCTACGTGAAGTGCAGCTGCAGGCCCTTTTTGGGATCCCAAGGGCAAGTTGGTGATTGAAGCGGGAAAAATCAGCTTGGAGCCGTCAATCAATTTGCGTTTTAACTATGTATTAAACCTCATCTTCTGCTGGCACCATAGATACTGATTTGTGGGGATTGAAGTATCAAAATACATCCTTCAGCAGAAACAATGGTTGGGGGTCAAACACTTAAATCCCAAGACTGTGCAACAATCAACCAACAAACATAAAATCAACAAACATGTGGATTGATGCAAGGATATGCTTCCGCTTGTGTGTTTCAGAGCTCAATGAAATGAGAGGTGCATTATGATCATCCTACTTCATCTTTTCGTTTCTCAACACCTCCTGGTTTTTTCCCTAACGATTTTCCCGTCGGCTACCATCGATGGGTTTCCCAGGTGGCTTCAACCTCTGTTTTTGACGGGTATTTTCGGTTGATGGTGGCTTCAAACCCCTGAGGCCTGTTGTGGTAAAAGAAGAGATTCCAACCCAGGAGGACCCAAACCACCCATTTTTCGAGCGGGTAGATCCCCAATTATTGTCAAATCCAGGTTGCTGTTACTGGTAAAACACCACCTTTTCTGGGTGCTAAAACTGAATAAATCCCAGTTTTTGAAGAGAACCCGACTAGGGCCTAGGGTAAGTCTGAAATTTTTGGTCTGAAAACAGAGTAGCCCCAAATTTGGTGGTTAATCATTGTTCTGCACCCTTGAAATTGCAATTTCAAGTTATTTTTCAGGCACGCCAAAATCTCATATCAAGTTGGTTAGATATCCCCACTATATCCCTCTGTTTATTGGCAAAATCCCTATTTCGGTTGGTTAATTTCCTCATTGTTCGTTTATGACTTCCTGAGTTTCTTCGCTGTCGAAAGGTAGGGATGAGATGCACGGCGGCAATTTGGGCTATGGAGGAAGTGGCTTGGCCCTGATGCACGGGAAAATCACCAACTACAGGATTACTCAGGATGTCGATAGCGATAGCGTTCAGTTGGTTTATAAGTGGCTGAATTCAATGGTTTATGGTAGATATACCCTCTGGTTATTTCACATAGCCATAGGAAATTGCCCAGTTATAGATGATTTACCTATTAAACACGGTGATTTTCCATGGCTATGTTAAATAACCAGATGGTAACTATAGTTAATGGATGTTAATGGGTTTTAAACCAACTTTGTTTGACTATAGCTAAGCTAGGTTTGTTTAAGGTGATGTTTTATTTTCCCAATGGAACATCCACCATGACTGGGGAATCGATTAAGTGAAGCAAATCCAAAATAACCATTGATGAGTACAAACCACTGGTTGATAGGCATTAATAACCATCAATGAGTACTATGGTTATTAACTATAGGTATCAATAGGGATCTATAACCATGAGTATTCATTGATAGGTATCCCTATTGATAGGCTATAGGCTATACCCATCAACAGGGATCAAAAATCAGTTGACGATCGCCATCAACTGAACGGGATGAAATGGGATTTTTCGTGAGGATATTTCATGGGATTTTTTTCACCAACCAATCATCACATGTTCAAAACTCGTGTTGGTTGATGGTTTGTAAGGGGGCTATTATTATCCAATACATTTGGGATTATCAGAATCCATAAACTTGGAATCCCTATGAAAACCAATCAACAAAAAGTCATAACCGAGGGTTTTGAACACTGCTCAAATGGGGACTTGGATGCTACATAGGAGATTGGTTAATAGGAGATTTATATATTGGTTAATAACCATTATACATTCGCTATAACCAACTTTAAATAACCAATCATGTAGGCACCATGGTGATCTAATAGGATATTTTTAAGATTTCACCAGCGTGCCAAATGGGATGGGTATTTCATGGGCGAGAAAAGCGAACCATGGTGAGATGAAACAATCATCCCAGTCTATGGGGTTTCGCCATCAATTAATAGATGATAATAGATGATAATAGATGATAATAGATGATAATAGATGATTATCTAGGTAAATTTCATCAATTTCATACTGCGACCGAGCCCGTCGTTCACGTCGTTCTCAAAAGAGCCCTATAATCATTTAGTTTTTATTAAGGGGAATCATCCCCATAGCTGGCCGAACTATTCAGGTGAACGTGAAATATGATTAAATTTTCCCAGATGTATGAATTTGGGTGTTTCTTTCAGCACCAAAATGGCATTTTGGGCTGGCAATTCTGTGATATTTTCTTTGATATGACAGCTGATATGGTTGATGGAGGTTCTAACCCTCCATTTTAAAAGGATGAACATGATGATTGCTGGAAATTCCGCCTTTGATAGATGATTTGCCAGTTAGCCACCTTGAAAGATTTTCCACCGATGCGTTATCCACTGGACGAGTCAAGGGGGGTTTCCCCCCAGTTGTGAGATATATAGCAGGCTCAATCACATGCTTTTTTTTTGGAGGTTTAAGAGAAAGAAATACCTCGGGAAAACCCAGGGTGTGTAAGTTGACTGTTTAAGTCCGTTTCTGCCTGAGGTGGACACGCCCTGTGCGGGCCCCACTTAGTAAAAGGGTCAAAAACCGCCAGTTATATTCTGTGGAATATAAACCACTTACGATTCGTGGGGAAATCGATTGGTGTGTTGGTCAAAACCTATGAAATTACCACATGACTAGAGGAATACCCTCTGGTAATTTAACATAGCGAACTGGAAAATCACCATTTTTTATGGGAAAATCCACTATTTCTATGGCCATTTTCAATAGCTATTTTGACACAACCAGAGGAATAAGCATCCATTCGTCCCAGCTATGCAACTGGCTATGCGATGTCCGAGGCTCTGGTGATGGAAGCTCCAGCTCCAGCAGGCAGGTGGTGACCGTTTCTCGGACGTTGAAGAAGTTGAACTAGCCAAACGGGTAGTAGCGGTTAATGGTGGTTAATGGTGGTTAACAAGTGTTAATGATTTGGGGGTTGAACTAGAGAAAGCATGGCTTCTTCTGGTCATACCCGTCATACCCTCTGGTAAACAAACAGTTTGCGAACTTGAAAATTGCCCAATTATAGTGGATTTCAACCAACTAGTATAATGAGATGGTACCCTCTGGCAATTTAACATAGCCATGGAAAATGGCCCATAGAAATAGATGGTTTACCTATTAATAGCATGGTGATTTTCCACGGCTATGTTAGTCATAACCAGAGGGTATAGGGTGTTAAAGTTTAAATACCCGGGGAATCAGAGATTTTGGTCTATTTCTGTGTCGTTAACCATCCAAATATGGGGGTACACAAGAAATTGACCCATACCCAAATGATGAATATGATGGGCTTGTGGGATATCAGCAACAATGAAAACGCATGGCTGTTAAGAAACACCTCTGGGGTTAAGCCACAAACACTTTCGGGGCACTGGTGAAGGATAACAGTCGGGGAAACCCAGTGCTTGAGTTCGCTGATTTGATCCATATTGGGTTGATACATACCCTCTGGTCATGACTAACATAGCTATTGAACATGGCCATAGAAATAGTGGTTTTCCCATTCAATATGGTATTTTCCATAGTTATGTTAGTTTACCAGAGGGTAATATATATTGTTAAGCAGGATTTTGGGGCTTCAGAAACAAGTAGAGACTTGGCGATGTGAATATGTAACTGTTCTAGCGGTGCACTTGTAGCCACAGCTCATATCTCCACCTCAATTTGCAAGTGTTATATCGCAATAAAAGGGTTACCATCTAGTTATGACTAACATAGCCATGGAACATCCCTTATAAATGGATGTTTTAATGGGAACATCATCTATTTCTATGGGCCATTTTCCATGGCCATGTTAAATAACCAGAGGGTAAACCAGAACCAGTTCAATGCTCAGTTGTTGGTTTCCAACATCATTCAAACGCCACAATGAAATTGGGTAATGTCAACCGCGGATTTTTAAAACCCTGGGAGATTAATTGGGATGTGCGCCCTGAATACTGATAATTTACTAAAATGACACCCTCAATACAACAGCCCAGGGATTTATTGATCTGGGGTTGACATCGTGTAGAATCTATACTAATTGGTCATTCAAACACCATAATCAAGCCGAATGGAGTGTCTCTCGCTCTCTCACTTTCTTTCTCTCTCTCTCTCTATGTATATAATTATATATATATAGTAACCCAATAAATGATAGAAACGTGATTTGTCAATATCTTAGGATTTTACCTCTCCATTTTGCCCTTAATATATATATATACTATGTAGTCCATATTGTTGGTTGAGCCGGTTTAACCTCCGTGGAAAGCCATCTGTCTCCAGCAAGGTTAAGGCCTTGCGGGAGGACCGAAAACCCAACGGGGTTTTACGGGGAGCGATTTGGAGCTAGCAAGGGTTTCGTTCAACCACATGATAGTCTGATAGAGAGAGTTTAAATATGTTTAAATATGAGACAAGGGTGACACATCATAATTTCATATGATTTCTCTGTATCTGAAAGTATCTAACCTGGCAACCTGGCAAGGGAGAATTCTCACGTCTTAGAGCCACAGCTCAGAAACGAGTGGAGTGGCCCTGTGGCTCCTGGAAATCTGGGCAAAAAAAGGTTCCTGTGAAAGAGAAGTAGTATGACTATCACTACTGTAAGAATGGTTAAGAATAGTTAAGAATGGTTACTTGTGATATATTTAGAATGATGTATAGTGATGAATAGTGGTCAACTTGTGGTTACCTGATGGCAATAAAAAATTGCAATTGGAAATCCAAAACTAAATGGATGTTTATAATGGGACAATCATCTATAAATGTCTTTGATTACCGGAGGATATTATGGATGATTTAATGTTAATCCCATCAATTTTGGATGATTTGATCGTGGACGATTATACTGTAATTTTTTGGATGATTCAGAATTATGATAGCTCATTGAGGGCACACTATTCCTTAGTCAGCCTTAGTCCAAGTGTCAAGCCTTTGGGTCATTTGCCCTGGGTCATTTCCTTGAGATTTTGGTGAGGGATGTCGCGAGTTTGCTCTTCACCCAGGGTCCGGGAGTTTTGATCAGAAATGATTCGTAACTGGATCTTCCTGAAGTCATGGGGGTACCCCAAATCATCCAGTCGTCGTGGATGATGACTTACTATTGAAACCCATAGTGACTTTAAGAACTCCCCGGGATAACTTGGTATATGACAGAAGATACGTCCTAAGCAAACATTCAACAGCAGACTGTTCGGCACACTTAGGTACCTAAAGTAGAGGTACTGTACCCTGAAACATTATCTTGCGAGGATATTCCCTTACATAGGCCTTACACATGTTAGGTACGGCAAATTTAGGCTCCTGAAAATTCCTTGAAATTGTTTTGCTGTTTAAACTCAACTTAAACTCAACTTTTCACGTCGCTTCAAAAGGTGGTTAGTAGTTTTTCTGGGCATTTTCTTATTGCCACAATCCAACGACCTCACGTCGCCGTTACGTTTTTACGTCAGAAATGATGGTCAGCAGAAAACATCACTGTTCTCCCGAACCCTGGAATCATGGTGTTTATAGGGAAATCATCGCCGCATGGCCGAACTATTCAGCTTAGTGAAAGATTTAAATTATTTACCCAGATATATTTGACTAATGGTGATTAATGGTGATTAATGTCGGTTAATGATGCTGATTAATGGTGATAAATGGTGATTAATGGTGAACTATTGTACTCCCAGATTTTTACGTGGCTTACCACCAATCTTGATACTCCCTGGTTGTTGTGGTGAACTTCCTTACTGCCAATGTTTTCTAGAGGACAGCATTTTCATTTCCGTTGACTCATTTTTTCACTGGTTGCTGCTCAAATCCCAATTATTTGGTATTTATCATCCCTAGAATGACTACGGTACTTTCTCGTACGTTGGTTAGTGAATCATAGAATTTTGGCCGGATTGGGTATCAATTCCTACTAATATGTATTGGTTCACATCCCATTTGTTGTTGGTAAGATCCACATCTTTGTAGGTTATCATGATTTTAAGTGGTCATTAGCTACTCCTTCGGATTGATGTGGGTATGTTGGCCAGATTGTTGTATCAAATCCCCGGCTGGTCAAAATCCAATTTTCAGCTGGCACAAAAAAATGATCTTTGTTGCGTAAATTCAAATTTTCGACCAGTGACATATTAGAGTAATTACCAGATTGGTGAATCCAAATGAAGTGCTGAAATTGGTTATATATGAATATCTATGACACATTCGCCAAAAAAACCTTGTACTTGTAGTCATCATAGTCATCCCCAAAAGAGATAGGTTACCGTGTTTCCAGGATCTTATAGATGACATTTGAGCGTAAAAAATGTCCAAACGTCCGCAAGTCAAAGAGGGATGGTATGATGGTGATGGGAGTATTATCTCAGGATATGGATTGGGCATTTTGATGTTATTTTGGGATGGCTTTCTGGGGAGGTGTTTCATGTGGGGGATGGGATTCTCACCAAAAAACACCAGCAGAATCGGTTTTTGAAAAACCCCTTAATTCCTTGATGCGGAAAAATCCCTTAATTTGATAGTTAAATCCCTAGATACCTTGATTTGATAGTTAAATCCTAAATTTGATAGTATCTGATAGTGATATCATGTTACATAAGTCCCCAAAAAATTGATGCCCAACATTGATAGTTCAATCTCTAGATTTTTATTTTTGTTCACTTCCCGTTTTCATCCTTGGTTAAATCTCAGGATATCCGGAATTGGATGGTGAAATCCCTACTGGAATTTCATAATCCCAACTGACGAAGTCCATCATTTTTCAGAGGGGTAGGGTGAAAAAACCACCAACCAGATATCCATTAAAATTCCCCGTATGTTTTCCCATATTTTTCCAGGTGGATTTATCCCAAGTTTATCCCAAGTATCATGGAATATGATGAAACAGTATGAATCAGTATGAACCATTCAGTCCATAGATTCGTTAGATTTCAGCCCCAGTCGCTAGATTTGATGCCGATGCATTTTTTTGGATATGACGACTGGGTAGGACCAACTCCAGTTCTCCAGTGGCCATCTTCCATGGAATGTCTTGGGCTTGGCGCAGCCACCCACGCTCTGGGGAGCGAGCAAGGCCCCTCCGGCTCCGGGGGAGTTTGGAACGGTGAACTGGGAATTTTCACCGACAATTTATGGGGATTGAAGCAGCAAAAAATGGGGATTGGGCTGGCGAAAATGGGGATTTGAACCCACTAAAAAATTGTGGATCACCAAATAAGAATGGGGTTTGAATCAACACAAATTGGGGTTTGACAGAGGATTTTAAGCAAAGACAATTGGGGGTTATCATCTGGTCGTTGAACATAGACGTGACCCATGAGTTTCATCGGCAAATCATCGAAGTAAATGGGAAAACATGCCAATGACTCAAGCAACTAAAAGTGGGGAATTGGAGCAACAAAAAACTGTGGAGAAACCAGAACAACTTGGGATTAAGCCAAGACAACTTGGGGTTTACAGGTGGAAAACCAGCAATAAATGGAGTTTACTTTATTGCACAGGGGGATTTTCCGGGAGATCGACAAATCAAACATGGGGGTATAAACCAGGAATCATGGGAACATATAGGGATATTCATCAGTAATGTATTTTTTGCCCAACAGCCAGGAACACTGGAAATCATCCAACGTGGCAAGTCTTATTATGGGGAAATCAATTGTCTCAACCATGAGATTTTTCAGGCTTTTCCCAACATTTTTCCGACACGCCTGGTGAAATGTTGTGGATTTTGCGTGCTTTCAACCATCAAGAATATGGATTGAAATCACATGATTAAACTGTCAATCATGGCCTGGGGGGGTTGGGCTTGTTGAGGGCCAGCCCGCTGGGTGACATCGTTTGAGATGGAGAAGTAACAGACGGGCTAAACAATCTGACCGGTTCTTGGCCGATATGGGACGGGTGTGACTGACCCTTGTCCTTGTTTTTTGTAGAGTCTCGGAGGATGAATTTTTTGAGATAACACGTAGATGTCCAACAATGGCGTAGAAACAGCGAAGATGTGGTGTAACATTGTACAGCCAGCAATAACTCATTCCCTGCAATCATGGGCCTTCTCGCTGTAGATATACGTTTGACATTGACTTATTCTCCAATGAACTCCTAGTTGCCTGCTGTCATGTTTCTGGAGCAAATTTCAATAAACATTGTAGGTGACATTCCCACCTTGTCCGGTGAAGTTTCGACGCCAAGTTGCAGCCATATGCCGTTTCCGAGTCGGTGAAGAGATTGGGAGACCCCCAAAGATGGCCAAAAAATCGGGGCAGAGTGCGGTTGATTTCAACACCCCCAAAATATGGCTTTTTGGTGCATGGAAAAAGGCCTTCTGAAAGTGTGGAAAGTCAGATTTCACCCTGCCCTTTTTGGCACATTTCGAAACCACAGGATTTTTTGGGGTTTTCTTCGCAGGCGGAGACCTCTGCCACACTGCAATGGAAGCTCCACATTTGCTCTGCAAAGAGTCGCTCGTTGCGAAGAGGATTTTGGGAGAGATTCGCTATAAAACCCCCCAAAGGATCATGTAGCACAAATGGCAGGAAGCAACAGAAGTTTGCAGCCAACAAGAAGTAGGATTTCGACTTAATCCCTTCCCTCATTCCTATTAAACACACCCTACATCCACCATGGTTTCTGCACCAACCTCAGGATCCAAGATGGTACGCCAGACCTGGTGAAGGGTCGGTTTTTTGCAGTTGCATTTCTTTGCCACGAAAGTAAGTCCCAAAAAGATAGACATGACATGTATCACTATTTTGCTCCAATTTGATTTGTCTATCCTTTTCGGTGATTTCTATACAATATCTACAACGCAGCTAATCTCATCTTGGGCATATGCGGTTGGCCATGGGGAAGTTTGCGGATGGCAATTGCACTGTGGATGGGGAAAGCGGGCCGTCCTGGCATATGAAGGGTTTCTTTACTAGCGGGGGATCCTCAAGTCAGCATGGTTGTTTGAATACAAAGTCATGGTCATCCATGACTTGGATTTGGGGGTACTCTCATGGATTGGAAACCCCCATACGAGTACGTTATGAATTTTTATTATCCGCTCAGCCCGCGGTTGCGGGCTGTTTCCAAATCACTCTGCAAAATGCGACCTCGCAACGACCTCATCAAATACGATGGTTCGTATGGGGAATTGTACCCAAAATGCCCTTAAATCTGGCTTCGCATTTATTACCAACTGGTAATTTGGATTATCAAATTTCAATTTTTGGGAGTTTTAACCAGTTAATCCCCAAGTTTAATTTGATCCCCATGTGCCTGATTTCGCCATCAACCTTCGACGCGTTTGACCAAGGTCAGGTAACTGACTGGGCAATGGGCGATCGCAACTCGCTGTTCCTTGGTGAAATAAGGGGAGTGGACAGACCCAGAACCTGCCAAACACCCCAAGGGCACCTGAGTTTGATGATATCATGATATGTCGAACTATATAGTTAGATGGGCTTATCAAGCAACTTATAACTGGGGGATTGTGGTGACCGCAGGAATTTAGCCAACAATAACAGGGTTGCTGCGACCTATTGTAGCTAAATCAATGTTGGGAGCAACTCTGAATAGCTAACAAACAGGTTTAAATGTGGATTCGAAGTAGCCTGAACTTTGAAACAACTAGCGATTTACGCAATAGAAATGGGTTTGTTTTTTATGTTGTTGTTTCATCCGAGATTTTCAAGGGGTGCAGTAACCATGATTTCAGGGTGCTCCAACCAACAAAATATGGCAGCAACAAAACTTGTGCTGTATTTGGAGATCATTACCAAATATAGCATCCTTTCAGCCATATATATATACATAACATATCCTCAAGACAACCAGAGTTGGGATGTTCGCCAAACACTAAGATTTTAGCTTGAACGGTTCAAGCTGGAAGTACGAAGCGATGAGTATTAGGCCCTCCTAGGCAGGAACTGTCTTTCCCAAAATGGCCCTCACAGCAGATTGAGGTCCAACAACTGCTGTTTGAAGTCAAGTATCCAGGAATGGCCAAAACATGAGGTTTGATCAAGAAAATTTAAATGTGACCAGCAATAAAGATTGATTTTTCACCAACAATAGAGGGGGGCTAGTGATGTACTGTAAAATCATCAAAGATAAGATAAAATCTCTCGGGAATGTAAGCATGAAAGAAGGGAACCAGTACCAACACGGTGACAAGTGACAAGTTTCAAGTGGCTGGAAAAGAACTCATGGATTGAATGCAGATCCCCAAGCGTCGGATACCTTTGTCCCGTCCAAAAATTAGACTCACAGCGGTGACCGGAAACATTGAAACATTGTTAGACGTCTCACGGGCAAAACAAGTTGTGAAAATCAGGTTTGTCCCTGATTCCAAAATGGACACAGTATTTCATTAAAGGTGGATAATCAATTTTCCACACCATGCTTCTTGTTGATGAAGTCACCATACTCAATAGTGAAATCGCCAGTTTTCCGAAAGTGATTTCTCCGTTTGGAAAAGTGTCTGTGACTTTTCCCAGTTTTTCCTGGTGAAATCGATAAATGGGTATGGGTCAATACCTATAGATACATTTCTAGTGGGATGAACATCCATTTACCAGCAATTTTGGGGTTCACTAGGTACCAGGGTTTTGACCCATCCCCAAATGAGTTGTTGCCTCTTTTTGCATTTTTGTTGCTTCTCCAAAAACCTCCAGTCGTCAAAAATCTCTCCCACTTCCCCAACAAAATCCAGTTCAAGGCAAGGTGTGCTGGGACAGCTGGACCCTGTGCAGTTGCGCACGGGAATCTTCTCGTTGGAACTCACTGTTTCACCAGGCCGGCATTGCTCACATGAAACTCTCGAAATCGCATGTGATTCATAGGTGGGACCCCTAGATAACTAAGTTGCATAGATGTCCTTTTCCCATTGGTTGGTTGACTAATAGAGGGGGTTTGTTTACCCCTTTAACAACAGGGAAATGATGATAGATGGTATACCAGCTCCCAGCCCCTCTATTTTTACCAAAAGGACATTATTGCTAAGTTGCTTATGATTAACTTGGTTTTTTGTAGGGTTTATTGGGCATTAGTTCACCGAGGTGCCCACCTTGTTTTTGGCGCCATGCTACTAGGTCACCAATTCATAAAAGGAAAAAACAACACAAGCTGTTGATGGGCGATCAACCATGATCAACCACTTTTTTGACAGGATGCATTTCTATGGGAGCAACTTGAGACTAACCCTGAAACCAAGGGGATTTGGAGGACTAGAGGAGTTGACCATCCCGAAGAGAACATATGGAACTGATTTACTGAATAACAAAATGGTAATACGCGCCTTGAAATATCTGGATTTGAATGATTTGACCCGGAGACAAGAATTGCTGGATCGAAAATCCGTGAAAAAGGCCTTGCTTACATATGCATTCGTCTGAAAATATAAGGTATAGTGCCCCAAATCCCATCGTCAGTTTTAGAGCCATCATAGTTTTCATCAGATTGCCAAATTTGAAGTATGAGCCATTTTCAGTAAAACACCCATTAAAAAAAAGGGCAAGTTCCCAATGATTGCGAGTTAAATTCCCATTTTTTCCATATATTTCTGTATATTTAAACCACTTAAAAGCCCTACCCTCTGGTAAACTAACATAACTATGGAAAATCACCATTTTCAATGGGAAAATCCACTATAAATCACCATTTTCAATAGCTATGTTAGTCATTACCAGAGGGTAATATTTTTGGTTCATCTTCAAGTCCTTGGTACCAAGTTCGAGTGACCTCTTGCGCCCCCCATGACTTGATCATAACAAAGACTCGACCTGGACTCTTCGTGGCTTGATATCTCTACGGTCCTGTGAGTTATAGTTTAATTAATGTGCACGATATTTTAGAATAACTAGGTCAACCGACTGGATGGGTACTTTAAGCTACCGGCGCTGTTAACGGACCCGCAGGTTTTGCTGTTTTTTTGCTATTGCATTGCCCGTCAGTTAGAAGTATTGCCCGTCAGTTGGAAGTATTGCCCGTCAGTTAGAAGTATTGCCCGTCAGTTAGAAGTATTGCCCGTTAGTTAGAAGTATTGCCCGTTAGTTAGAAGTATTGCGCGTATGTTGGAAGTATTGCCCGTCAGTTAGAAGCATTGCACGTCACTTAGAAGTATTGCCCGTTAGTTAGAAGTATTGCCCGTTAGTTAAAGTATTGCACGTCAGTTGGAAGTATTGCACGAAGGATAGTGTGATTTTCTTGGGGAACCGGGTGGGGTGGGGGGGTGGGGGGGGGGTGGGGGGGCAAAGGGTACGCTGTAACATGTCTCTTGTCACTTGCCAGACGCTCTGGATGCTACGCTGTAACATGTTCTCAGGATGCAAGAAGAAACCATTACCCATCTACTTCCTCACACACTCGCGTTGGGTTGGTTGCGTGGAGCGTGGAGAAGGAGGACGCTTGCTTCTGTGCCAACTCGATCACATCTTGTTGCAGCCTGGATCATGTCCTGCCACAGAGTCTCTGCGAGATGTTCGAAAAACCGGATTTCTTAGGCAGTTGAAACGTCCTTGCACTGTATATGGGGATGGTGCAAAGAGTTGGAAATCTGAGTGCGAACGGCATCGCCTTTGCTTCCGCGATGTGACACGCTACAAGATGGAGTTCACTCGAAAAACCAAAGTCAAACAAAAGGTACGCATCAGTGGAACACAGTTGCTGGACAATGTCTGGCGCCACCTGAAGCGCTTCGTACCCTTCTCGGTCCATAGCAAAGACAAAGTTACCAGGAAGGATTCTCAAAGAATCCAACAATATGTGTGGTCCTTCGCCTATCGTTGGAACCACAAGGAGGACTTGAAAGGAAGCCTCGCCAACTTGTGTGCAAAGGTCAACAAACGCAAACGCTGAATCCATGAAGGAAAAAAGCCGAGCTTCAAAAGCTTTGGAGGTTTCGTTTTCCAAAATCCACATTTGTCAATTATTTAGCCCAATAGAATTCAATGATCAATGAATAATTTCCTAGCGTAACGTGGGACGAAAACAACATTTCTAATTCTGGGTAAAATAACAAAATCGTCACAGTGCCACTGTTTTAAACAAATCCATACATAATGATTGAAATAAAACACATTAAAAACACTGGGTCCGCTATCAGCGCCGGTACCTAGTTTAATCCTTTAATCTTTTGCGATTTCAATGGGAATATCAACTTTTGTCAGCTGATTTTTTTTTTGCCAGGTATCTAAGATTATCATCCATTTTAAATGGGATTTCCCATTGTAAACAATCCAGCTATTGGGGTACGGTCCTTTTTTCACAATTGCAGTGATTGGGGCCTTGCTTTTCCGGTGATAGACTTTGGCAAGTCTGTGTTTATACTAACAAAGGAAGTTTGGAAGTCTAAACTCTGTTGTGATTTGTAAAACTGTGAGAACGTAGAGAAGTGAAGAGCAGGGAAGTGCGGAGAGCAGAGAAGAGGGGAGAGAGAAGTGAATAACGTACATACTGTAAGTGAAGCAGGTACAGAAGTGAAGAGTACGGAAGTGAAGAGAGCAGAGAAGCGACGAGAGTAGAGAAGTGAAGGAGCAGAGGCGGAGAAGTGAAGACAGCAGAGAAGGACAGACATATATAAAAACAAGAGATCTTCGTTTTGTCTTTACCATGCTCCATCAGATTTGGTTTTTAAGCGCTGGCTCGCTGATGATGATGGGGGGGATTGCAACTTGCGGATGGTTTGTGTGCTAGCTTCGGTAGTTTGGATGTTGACTCATGAGCAGCTTGATGTGCCTTCATTCGTACCTTTCTTCTTGGACCTTCCAGCATTTTATAGGCCTGGTTTTGCAATCTGATTCGGGGGACATGTTGAGTTCGTCATTCCATACCATGTTCATCGTTCATCTGCACAGCGCGTGGCAGTCCTGGTGAGATCGCGGTGGAACGGCTGCGTCACGGTTCCGTGGGTTGCTGCCTCTGTGTTCCATGGTGTAAACTGCTCGCGATTGATTTTCTGGTGTTTATTTGTTTTTGGCGCTAATCATTTTCCTTTTAATTTCAAAACTGCTTCAACCTCGCACTGTTTTGCCTTGGCTCTGAGACCAGAAGAAGGTTGTCAAGAGAAAGGAATATCAAAAGAAACCGTTTCCAAGAGAAAGAGACGTCAAGAAAATTGAAGCAGACAACGGCTTTGGGAACCAGGGGGCCTCGCAGCCTTCCTATAGGCTTTCCATTTTCAATATTGGCTTTTCACGTCTTCGAAACTTCTGCGGCCCGGCTTGCCCGGGCTCTACTTGTAGACATCATGTCTATGCTAATCGCATTTATAAATTTTGGGGCTTAACCCCACCTGACAGAATAGACATTCATTAGTTTTGATGGGAAAATCCCACCATTTTGATGGCCTCAGGCGCTCCCATCCCAGTGAGCTGGACTTCTTCGGGTTCAAAGGGTTCGAGCGTGGAACTGCTGTTCCTGGACACATTCGGTTGGAAGTTCCGCTGTGACACACCACTTTTTTATACCGGTTTTAAGCACCGAAAATGAAGATCAAAATTGATTTCACCTGGTTTCAATCATTGAACATTGGGATTAGATTGAGAATAACTAGCCAAAAAAGGGGCGCAGCACTCAATGGGGGGTTTTAACCAACAAAATTGGCGGTTTAACTTGCCAAAAACATGGGGGTTTACGCTTTACAACAAATGGGTCATGCCCCAAGATCGACCCGTATGGACATCAAAAAAATCGGTGGATGGGAGTTCTGGTTTTTATATTCAAAAACCCATCAAAACCAGGGAATTCATTTGGGTTTTCGTTTTTTTTCGGCTGGAACTAGGCACTTTGCGCGACCTTTCAGCGTTTGCGCTACCCACAGGTGGGCCGGCAGATCCCATATTTGGTCGCTTCAAATCTCCACATATGGTTCGTTCATGTTTGTTTTTGTCACATCTTTAGTGGCTAAGGCCACTAATTTTATGGTTGGCAAAATCATTTCTAGGTAAATGTGATATGAAATTAGTATAAATTAGTGGTAGCCATAATGGCTTTATCATATATTAACCACTAATTTTACATTGTTTGAATCCTGTTGAGCCTCTCGTAGATGGCACAACCCGCTAGGCAGCGGTTTGTGGTTTGTGGCAGGTGAATCCTTCCTGAATCGATGGTGGTTGAAGTTGATTGCGGGTGATGTTTCAATGGGATCATCATATAGATATATGATATATCCCTTTGATTATTGGTTAATGAATAAAGTAATAGAGGCTTCCTAACCATTTCAACAACCAACAGGTAGAATATCATGAATGATATACCCTCTGGTTATTGATATACCCTCTGGTTATTTGGTGATTTAAGGGGATGATAGTGGTGATGTTTCAATGGGATAATTCACAGTTATGACATTCACAGTTTGCCATGGAAAATCCACCCATGCTATTAATAGGTAAACCATCTATTTCTATGGGCCATGGCTTCCATGGCTATGTTAGTCATAACCAGAGGGTATCCCTTCCTGGTTGGTGGTTTGGAACATTAATTTTATTTTTCCATTCAGTTGGGAAGAATAATCCCAACTGACGAACTCATATTTTTCAGAGGGGTGGCTCAACCACCAACCAGCTTTGATTATTGGTTAATGTGGTAAACCCATTGTAAACTCAATAATTTTACGATCCCCAAATGGTAGGTTGATGATTGGGTTTACTGCATTTCTCTACATGAGTCTTGATGTACCCTCTGGTTATTTAACATAGCCATGGTATAGATGGCCCATAGAAATAGATGGTTTACCTATTAAAAATGGGTAAATTTTCCATGGCTATGTTAAATCACCAGATGGTAGATGAAACCTTGAAACCTCCCTTGCGTCTCGGGATTTTTGTAAATTGCAGTTTATTAGACACCACAATTTTGATGCTTAACCACCAGTCTTCGCAACAGAGTTTTGCCGCCGGTGATCCAGTAAAATTCCTTTGCCGGATATTCCAATTTAGTCTTCACATGTCATGCCACTTACCCTATGAGATTTGTGGGTGAGACTCTCATATCTGGCCCAAATGTAAAAGCCTCAGTTAAATTTCGATTTATCGCCGGCTAAGTTTCCGTTTAAACTCCCAATTTTGTTGATTCATATCTTATTTTGATGATCAAATCCCATTTGAGTTGTCTAAAGTGTTTTTTTTTGCTGGCTAAGATCTCAATTTTGTTGGTTAAGATCGGACTTTGTTGATCAAAATCCAAAATCCCATTTTGTCAGGTTATGGAGATTTTGCGTTGGTTCAATCTCCATATTTTGGTCATCCGAATTTCATTAGTTGACGCCTCCATGTCTGTTTTCCCATGGTTTTTCTCGTGTTTTCCCATGGTTTTTCTCCACCAGGAGTCCCGACGTTCACGTCCTCTGCCGTGCGCTGTGCCCGGGCGCCTACGAAGCGGTGCAGTCGACGTCGACCGCCACGGTGGTGACGGCAGGGACGGCGGCGGCCTATGCAGACGCGTGGAAAGGTGGGGCCCTTAAAAAGGGGGGGGTAGATCACATCCCCCAAGTACTTGGCTATCCAGTGGTTTGGAGGGAGCTAAGGAGCTAAGGAGCTAGGGGTATTCATATTCCCTATATATTCCCTATTCAATGGGGAGCCAAGGAGCTACTTAGAGTTTCCCAACCATCAAGTACTTGGCGAATGTTTTTCTTTATTTCATGAGTGACTGATTGGCTGACTCGTGGTTTGGAACATGAATGGATGATTTTTCCAGTTGGGAAGTTCATAATCCCAACTGACGAACTCATATTTTCAGATGGGTTGAAACCACTAACCAAGTTACAATGGTGGTTCAAATTGGCTAAGATAGTAGCTGAGAATGATGAATTCTCATGTTTTTTTTGGTGGTGAATAGACTGTTTGATAATGGTTGGAACAGATGGTTGCTCCCACCCCCTACTGTAATATTTTTTTACACCCTCGTTGTATGGTCCCAATCGGAATGTGTAAATCCCAACATAAAACCATGGGCAGGCGGGGTGTTTACTAGGCAGAAGGGCGTCTTTGGCCAAGATTTGCATGGTTTCAGGAGTAAAGATGGGGGTTTAACCAATACAAGTGGGTGATCAAATTGGTGCTTCAACCCCCAAAAAATCGTGTTTTGTTGGTGAAAAACATGTTAGAAAACTGCTTATCAGTTACCCTCTGGTAATCAAACCAGGCTAGACGGAAAATCCCGAAGTATAGTTGATTTTCCCATCAACACCTCTATGATGGGAGTTTCCCAGCTTGCCATGTTTGACTATCGGATGGGGATATAACTAGGGAATTATCCATTTTTTTTATCCGTTTTTTTTATTATCCAATTATCTTATTAGTTATATACCCAAAATAATCCCATGATATATTCCTTAACCGTTTATCAGTTAGCCTCCTGTAAACGTTTACATAGATGAAGCCACCATTTTTTCAGATCATTTTCTGAGGAAAACCCAGTGGTTTTCTACATCTATGTATACGTTTACCCATTAGTGATATCACGAAAGGTAGCTCCAGAGGGGCTACCTTGAGTTTTACTTTACGAAGTAAAGGGGAGGGCGGCCAGCCCCGTTACCTGATTCTTCAGGAGATTGCTAGTCATTTTAGTACCCCCCCCCTCCACACCTCCCACGCACCCTAAGAGCAGACTCAAAACATTGTAATTTACAGTATTTTTGTTCTTTTCGGATCAAGAAACCACATTTTGCTACATGGTGAAACCTCCGTAAATACCAGTGTTTTTGCTAGGTGCTGGCCAAAAAACACTGTAAATACCGTGCTTTTTTACTACCAGAGGCAAAAAACATCGTAAATACCGTGGTTTTGGGCTTCCGACCCGCCAAAAACATCGGTATTTACGGTGTTTTTTGCTCCGAGAGTTGCAAAAACACGCGAAAACACCACCGATTTGACGATTTTCGGCCACTACGGAACCGAGCAAAAACGCTGCAGGGGTAACACCAACACCAACAACAACAACACCAACAGCAACAGCAACAACAACAACGACGACAACAACAACAACAACACCAACACACAACGCACAATGCACAATGCACAACGCACAATGCACAACGCACAACGCACAACGCACAACGCACAACACACAACACACAAAACACACAACACACACACAACACACACACAACAACACACAACAACACACAACAACACACACACAACCACACACACAACACACACACACACACAACAACACACACAACACACAACAACACACAACAACACAACGCAACACACAACAACGCAACAACACAACAACACACAACAACACACACACAACACACAACAACACACAACAACACACAACAACACACAAACAACACAAACAACACACAACAACACACCACAACACACCACAACACACACAACAACACACAACACACACAACAACAACACACACAACAACACACAACAACACACACAACACACAACAACACACAACAACACACAACAACACACAACAACACACAACAACACACAACAACACACAACAACACACAACAACACACAACAACACACAACAACAACAACACACACACAACACACAACAACACACAACAACACACAACAACACACAACAACACACAACAACACACAACAACACACAACAACACACAACAACACACAACAACACACAACAACACACAACAACACACAACAACACACAACAACACACAACAACACACATCAACACACAACACACACAACAACACACAACAACACACAACAACACACAACAACACACAACACACAACACACACAACAACACACAACAACACACAACAACACACAACAACAACAACAACAACAACAACACAGAACACGAACAATACCAACACCAACAACACGACCAACAACACCAACACCACCAACAAACCCAACCACACCAACAACACTAACAACACTAACAACACCAGAAACACTACCACCACCAACAACACCAACAACACCAATACCAACAACACCAACAACACCAACACCACCAGCACCACCAACACCACCAACACCACAACCACCACCAACCCCAACCACATCGCCGAAGCCTTTCAGTCGCTTTTACCAGACTCCCCTTCATATTTTTGGAAAGAAAATGGCCGCGTCGCTTTTACCAGACTCCACTTTATGTATTTTTCCCTCCCCTCTCCCCTTCATTTTTTCTTCGGTTCCTTTCTTGCTTACCCACCTTTCGTGTTCCCCCTCTCAAGTTAAAATAGAAATTGAAAACAGCCTCGAAATGGTTCTGTCCAAAGCGAAAAGCGGTAGCGCGTGGCAATCCCATTTTTGGCAGTGTGGAACCTTGCGACCTGCTCGAAACACGAAGCTCTTTACATTACGCAAGTAAATCAAAGTTGGGTTTTGTTTAAGCAGCAAGCTTTCAACGCAACTGGGGAGGACCACTTCTTGGAGTCCAAAAAGCCAATGTGTTTACGGCCCCGAAAATGAGATTGCTGCAGTGACTTTTTTTGCGAAAAATGGCGCAGCTTTACCAAAAAGCAATACTTTTGCAAGTGTAACGGAATGGCAGGATTCCGGGGAACACGGTTGCTGATTGAAGGTCTCTAGCCCCGCCTGCATGTTGCCAATCTTTGCCAAAGCACCATGTTGTTTGGAATTGTTTGGGTGTTGTTGTCGCAGGCTTTCGCAACATGGCGTGGGTGAGGTGCTGATTCCGCTGCGACATTGCTGGTGGGATGCTTTTTTCTGTGTCTGCGTTGGCAGTGGATCGTTTTGTCACGATTGGGCGTCGCACTGCTCAGTTTTGTTTTGGTCTCTTGATGCGTTGTTTGTTTTTGGGCTCCCCACCTTCGCCCCCCTAGACTCCTAACGCGGCAACTTTGCGGGTCGGGTTGTGTATGTCGCCCGGAGTTCAGTATCATCCGGTTAAAGAATAATAGTATATATTTAAAACCGGATGAATCCTTTGCTGACATTGGGGGAAGAGTTTCGATTTCATGACTCCAGCAGATTCCGTAAGAAGACTGGAGATGCAAAACTTCCGTTTTACCACAGTTTTGTGCCAGATTTGATGTCTTTAGCTGCGGAGTCTTGCCGGAGTCGGGCGGAGTCGGTACACCTGCTGAAACCCTATTTGCAATGGGGAAAGGGTTGAAAGAGTTCCAACTTTGTGACTGGCAGTCTGTCAGCGACACAAGAGTGACGCCATACCAACTGAGCCATGAAGGCGACTACAGAAACCAAGTAAACTGTTGAATTGGGAGCCAGCAGAAAATGTTTATCTTCTATGGGCATTTTTCACTTTTCGGACAAGCATTGAAGGTGCAAGGAAGAGGCGCGGCAAACCACGACTTGACCAACACATGCGCAGCAACCTTGAGGCGTTGCAGCGAAGTCCGCCAACCAAGAAGGCAATAAAGTAGCACGAAGCGGCCCGCAAGATTGAGCAAAATGAGGTTCCAAAACCAGGCCTCAAAACAGGCAGTTTTGCGGTGACGCATGGGCGACTGCTTGCAACTTGTGATGAGTGCGTCCCTTTCTACCTCTTCGCCTAACCTTTCTCATTTTCACCAATGCTTTCCGAAATTGTAATGGATGATGTGAGAGCAAAAACGAGGAAAGAGGAACTGAAAGCCCTGCCCAAGAAAGAGCGTAAAAGGCTGCTACTGGCTGCCGCGGCGAAAGTAGAGGAGAAGATCGCGTGGCTGAAGGACGAAGCAAATACTTCGGAAGCAGCTGGTGGAGACAAGTGCAGGAAGCACAACATCTCGGGAAGACCTGAGGCAAGTGCAGGAGCAACTAGACAAGGTGAACCAGAAGAACGAAGAGCTCCATTGATCACATTAATTATCCATGAGTCATCCATTCTTGTTGGTTCTAGCCCCACTATAAACCACTAATGTGGATGATATCACATAATATCCACATATTACTGTTGGTTTTATCCCTCAATATATCCCATGATATATCATTACTGCTTATCATTTTTTCCCTCCTTAGTAAACCCATTAGATTCATTAGAGATCTTATAAAATCTTATTAGTTATATACCTTTTTTAGTCTTTTGGCACGAGAATTCTTCAGTCGAGCGCGACTGAGGTTTTTCCAGTCGTGAAACTCTTGCGGGGTCAGCGTAGCGCAGTGAAAAATTGTGGATTTTATAGCTCGAAAAGACAGATTTAGACAGAAATACTGCCCACTAGTTATGGGACCCATAGTTACCCTCTGGTTTTTACATACAAAAAACTGATGGAAAATCACCATGCTATTAATGGGAAAACTCACTATCAATGGCCATGTTCAATAGCTATCTTAGTTCCCCTCTGGTTATGACTAACATAGCCATGGTATAGATGGCCCATTGAAATAGATGGCTTACCGAACTTAATAGCATGGTGATTTTCCATGGCAAACTGTTAAATAACCAGATGGTATATCCATTAATTCTCCATGAATCATCCATGAACATCCATTCTGAAGTTGGTTCTAGTCCCATTATTAACCATTATATCCAAAGAATAGTCACATTAATGGTTAATAATATCCCATTACATACTATATTGTCACACTAGTGGATTAATAATACTACATTCATCCACTAGTGGATCATATCCCATCATATTTTGGTGATTATATTTTCCATCCCTAATGGTTCTAGTCCCATTGGTCCACAATATCCAGATATTGCTGTTGTTTTTATCCTGGAGGATCATCTCACTGGAGCATCATTCAACCCCCCTAATGTTAAAACACCACCTACTGTCAATGCTTCCAATGATGCGGAAATTCCCAACATAAAACCATGGTGTTTCGTAACTCGGGGGTGTTTAAAATATGAACGGGGGAAGGGATTACCCTCTGGTTATGTCAAAATAGCTATTGAAAATGGCAGTTTATTTCGTGGATTTCCCCTTTAATAGCATGGTGATTTTCCCATCAGTTTTTTGTATGTTTACCAGGCCGGTTAACACCATATCACCATCACAATTGATAGTTGATGCTTAAATCCCCAAATTTCAATCCGTAAAATCTCTCGATTTGTTAGTAAAACAATGCCATAAACCATCCCCCATGACTCACCATGTTGATCAACATTGATTGAACATATGGTTTGTGGGTGGTATAAATACGGGATAAGCATAAAATCATATAAAATACTGGTGGTGATTGGTTTATACCTGGGTTTAATGGGAGTTTAATGGGACTTAATGGGACTTAAATGATGGTTGGTGGTTTGGAACATGAATGGGTTATTTTTCCATGCAGTTGGGAATGGAATAATCATCCCAACTGACGAACTCCATCATTTTTCAGAGGGGTGGCGAAAAACCACCAACCAGGGTGGTATGGTTTTTACCACCATTAGGGATGGAAAATATAATCCCCAAAATATGGTGGCTAATGGTGCGATAAACCAATAATATATCCTCCAAAATCATCATTTTTATTGGTAATTATTTAGGACTCTCCTTGTACTCTTTATCTAAGGCCATGGTCAGGAGGGGTACACCCAGCTGGAACTATTTCTTGGGTGACTGGAACTATTTGAGATATGACTAGAACTATATTTGAACATGTGAAACGGATTGAGAAAAACATACAGAACTATATTGATGTTTGCTAACCAAATGTCAAGAACTATGTACACTTTTGCCAAAAATGCAAGAACTATATCAACTTTTGGCCAAAATTCTGTCACAATCATACTAGCTTTAGCAAACAAACATAGTGAAACCTAAGTCACTACAGTGCTTAGCAATGCTGTGAGCTCAATGGGGAAGCATGAAGACAACCCAAAACATGTTTTGTTCAACCCAACCTGTAATAGTTTGTTCTTGACATCATGCCAACAGCAAAACATTGATTGTTGAATTTAGATGGTATGCAGTGTGGCGGTACTATGCTTTGATATCCGCATCATGCCAGCGGGAAGGTATTTTTGTTGATACTTAGACTAGATTCTCCCTTGGTATTCACATGATGACTCATTATCGCCAAATTAGCACTATTTTTTATAGTTCCATTTTAATGGTCAAAATCCCCAATAATAGATCCCAAAAAATCCCTAATAATATCCCCTACAGGATGGGGCCCAATTATAAGTTGGTTTATAACCCCATCTAAATATAGTTAAGAGTATCATACACTATTGTTATTATGGTTGTGTTCACCAACTTAGCTAACGAACTGGGCCCCCATCCTGAATATCACCATTTTTATCAACATTAGGGATTGGGGATGGTTTATGGGTGGTATAAATATGGGGTAACCATAAAATTATATTAAATACAGGTGCTGATTGGTGGTTTGGAACATGATTTCTTTATTTTTCCATTCAGTTGGGAAGAATCATCCCAACTGACTTTCATATTTTTCAGAGGGGTGGCTCAACCACCAACCAGGGTGGTATGGTTTATACCACCATTAGGGATGGTGGTATGGTTACCATTCCCAGTCATGGCTGGTTCAGCGTAGGCCTTGTGGAGTTGGAGGCGGTCGCTTCGGCCGTGGACGAGGGCCTCGGGCGACATTTGCAGCTCAGACACGATGGATGATGATTTCTTGCACCAAAAAATGGGAGATTTCATGGGATTTAAGCATTCTAAATGGTGACTTGATGGTGATCTAAGCATTTAAGCACTACAAAATACCATCTAAAGTAGGTGATTTAGGGTATTTCACCATCTAAAATGGGTGAATTTCAAAGGGTTTTAAGCAGTAAATGATGGAAACAATGTGGTTTTAAGCATCAAACATGCCATCTAAAATGGTTGATTTAAGTGATTTAACCAAGACACCAATATGGATCCACCAATCTAAACAGGTTCTTTTTTGGGACAAATCATCCCACGGGCTTTTTTTCGGGGTGAGTTCAGCCAGAAAAATTGGGCGAACTTGAGGAACTCGGGACTTACAATGAACCTCTGGGTGATTTTTCTGGATTTCATGGTGGTTTAATCATATATATATATATATGGGATTTGAAGATATGGAGATATGTCGGGGATATGTTGGAAATATGTTGGAGATATACCCAAAGAGCTATATGGTATAGTGGTAATCTAAGTTGGTGGTTTTCCCCCACCATTTAGAAATAGGCCATTGTCGCTATCTTAGATCACCAGAGGGTAACAGCGAAACCTCTGATTTCACCGACCACGACAGTTGAATCATCTGGTGAAACACGAAGGGTTGAATTAATCACCCGCAATTCAACATGGCAACATTTTAAATTGCCAAGTTTGACTATCTGAGGGCAAACAATTTGATTTCAAAAGCGTAAGACTGGAGAAACACTATCATTCGTGAAAGGCAAGTCATGTGCCACCAAACTGTTTTGCGCTTTCAACTTGATTGACAATCACATCTTGGAGTTTTGACTGCCTTTTGGAGGGGACCCCTGTTGCACGTCATAGAAAAAGTAAAAGGGGATTGGTCAAAACCATCAATTTTGAATCATTGGATGTCTTCTTGGAATTGGGCTACCCGAAACAACCGTGCTTTCCGTGCTTTTTTGAGCAACCAGAAATTCTGGTAGTTCTTTCCGGTCTCAAAATTTCGGACACTCTATAGCCTCGAAAAAGATGGCTCTTCAAGTGGTTCTCCTTCGGGAGATAGACTTGAGGACTTATCCATCCAAATGTAGGAGGCTGGTTCCATCTGGTCCCAGAAAATGCTGCTTCAAAAAGGCCGGAATGATAGACCCAGAAACTGGAGTCATGCGAAAGGCAGCAATGCCACCTGGCTACAATGAAAGAACTGTATGGTTTTATCCCGCCTCCCCCTTGAAAACCTGTGAGTGATGTCCAAGTCAGCCGTTTCCATTTGGGTCTTGGCGAGGACAGATGTCTGGGTGGATTGGGAAGAGAGTCCCTGGGATGCGAAGCAGTTGGCAACGGCAAAGTGGTGTTTTATTTCCACGCGATGTTATTATATTCACACTGAATGGGGCTAGATAACCACTTCAAGTGGGGAGATAAAGTAGCTAGATACATACATACATACATACATACATACATACAAACATACAAACATACATACATACATACATCCATACATTCATACATCCATCCATACATCCATACATCCATACATCCATACATCCATACATACATACATAGATACATAGATACATAGATACATAGATAGATACATATATACATAGATACATACATACTGACACACACACAGACATACATACATACATACATAGATAGATAGATACATACATAGATACTGACACACACACAGACATACATACATACATACATACATACATACATACATACATACATACATACATACATACATACATACATACATACATCCATGCATGCATGCATGCATGCATGCATGCATGCATGCATACATGCATACATGCATACATGCATACATGCATACATGCATACATGCATACATGCATACATGCATACATGCATACATGCATACATGCATACATGCATACATGTATACATGCATGCATGCATGCATGCATCCATGCATACATGCATACATCCATACATCCATACATCCATACATCCATACATCCATACATCCATACATCCATACATCCATACATCCATACATCCATACATACATACATAGATACATAGATACATAGATAGATACATATATACATAGATACATACATACTGACACACACACAGACATACATACATACATAGATAGATAGATACATACATAGATACTGACACACACAGACATACATACATACATACATACATACATACATACATACATACATACATACATACATACATACATACATACAGACATAGATACATACATAAATACATACATACATACATACTGACACACACACATACACACATACATCCATACATACAGACAGACAGACATGCATACATGCATGCATGCATACATACAGACAGACAGACATGCATACATACACACATACACACATACACACATACACACATACACACATACATACATACACACATACACACATACACACCGATATATAGCTATATACATATACAGATACTGGTGGTGTTAAGGCTCGAACTCAAAAAGAATCATGGTAAATTGTAGCAACCATCTTGGTAAATGATCATGGAAAAACTATCATTAGCACATAAGATGGCCAGTTTACCGTCACTCAGCTCCTTTTCATTAGCAGCAACCTCCCTGGCGGACCAAGCCCTGTGATGGCTGAGAGGGAATCCTCCTACAATTTGGATTTGGACCGGTCCGGGGAAAACCACAAACCCAAAGTTCATCGTCTCCCAACTTGATATGGTGGGGTTCCCAAGGGATTGTCCCTCACCTCATCTCACAGAATTGTTTTGAGGGAACCCCCCACCGAAAAATGACAAGCAAAGTTCAATGGATTGGACACATCAATCCAGTTTATTGGCTTTTGATCCCTAATTTTGTTGCTTATCCATTTATGAGTTGGCTGCGGACGGTCCAATTTTGGAGCTTCAAACTGTCAGCGAAAACGGCCCCGGTTTTGATGAAGAATTTCCCACGGATTTTTCTTCATGAAGTCCCCAGTCATGAGAGGAATTGCCTCATCAAAACGCAAATCTGTCTTTTGTTGGTTACCCTCTGGTAAATTAACATGGACCCTGGTAGATAGGGGTTGGAAGACTAGTTTCGTCTAACAATTGGTGATTTCCAGGGTCTATGTTTATTTACCAGAGGGTAAGCATCAATTTTCAATATGTTTATTGCTTCAATGAAATCGACGTTGCCAAGCTTGATGATTTATTTATCCCAGAAAATGCCATTTACTCATTTACTCCCGGATTAAATGGCGATTATCACGTTGTCTACGGTGGGTAAAATCAGTCAGGCTTGACTTTCAGGACCATATGTTTGATGGTTAAAAGTCAAAGCCCACATATTTGATGGTAAAATCCTCCCATTAGATCGGCATTAAACTCCCATGAACCATTAAGACCACATTAAATCACCTCTCATTCACCATTAAGACCCCATTAAATATCATTAAATCACCATGCATATCCCATTCAATACGATACCTTCCTTGTTTTCATGGTTGAAAACTGCCGCTCCTCGTGCCATTTTCCGCCTCAGGCGACGAGGGGCTTTTGGGTCGTTTTGATGTGAAGGCGGCAGCGGTGAAGTAGGGGTGGTTTTTAAGCACATTTAAGCACTGATTTCATCATCCAAAGCACACTGAATTTGGATTTAGCATGGTTAAACATGGTTTAACCAAATTTCATCATCCAAACCTAGGATTTAAGCAGTGAAAGTGGGCTTTGACATGCTTTAACCACCAAAAAAATTGGGGGGATTTATGAGGCTTTTACTAATGCAAAATTGGCGGATTTGGCCAGTAAATGATGGAACCACTGCTTATTTGACCCATTGAGCATGCCATCAAAAATACTGATTTCATCATCAAACATTGTGAATTCAACCAACAACAATGAGGAATTTGACCCAGAAAAAAAGGGGTATCCAACAAACACAGGAATATCATCCAGAAATTGGGATTGGTTAGTTGTTGATCAATGCCTTGATTCGGGCAACCCCACACAAATAAATCATTGTTTACCCTCTGGTAAACGTTTACATAACTATGGAAAATCACAATTTTTAATTGGAAAAGCAACTATTTCTATGGCTATTTTCAATAGCTATGTTAAATTGCCAGAGGGTATCTTTTGGGAGCTTACCAGTTGCCGCCAAAACGATCGCTTGCTACTAGAGTTGTGTCCATCCCAAACCAATCATGGGACTTTAATCGGGTGTTGACATTGCAAAGGCATGTGCTGTAAGCAGTTGTACAGTAATTGCAACATTGGTGTTTGCAAAAGTTGGGGACATACGAAATTCTAAATTTGAATGCGTTTCATTTTCACACCCCAGTAGGATTCACAAAGTTATCCGGCACATGGTTTCAATCTGGCTCCATGTGCGATTTCAAAGCCAAACGTCTTGGCTAACATGTTTGCTGATATGTAGCTTTGCTTAGGGGTCCAATTTGAAATCCTGCACTGGAACAGTGAACGTTTTCTACCAAACTTGGTTGAATGGAACATCTTCAAGAAAACATGACATGTTGGGAAGTAAAACCCCATTGTTTCAACTGTAATTTTCCATTGAACCCAATTCCATTCATTGAATCATTGTGGGCCAATGTCCCAGTTTTTCATGGTTATACATTCCCTAAATACTCCTTATAAATCCTTGAAATAAACAACCATTGGACTCATTAGACACCATTTTAAGGATCCCTTAGTTACACAGTGTGCTTCCATTCTCCAGGCAGCACTTCTGTTTGCTCACAAGATGAAGCCACTCGGCAACCTTGGCTGGTTCTGTGAAGATAGGTGAGAATCCCATGGATCGTAAGTGGTTAGCAACCGGGATACAATGGGATTATATAAGAGTGATGAATAGTGATGAATAGTGATTGATAGTGATTGATAGTAGTTAGTAATGATTAATAGTGATCAATGACTTGGCTATAAAACAAACCACTAGTAAAAATCACGGGAAGCTAGTGAACTGCCATAAATTCAATGGGAGAATCCCCGCCTTTCGGGGACTGACCTCCACCAGGCAGATTTAGTCAGATGATCTTCCAAGTACCCGGCCTGGTCATGACGGACTAACAGACATAGCGAACTTAGAAACATGACCCAATCGAAATTTCGTGACTTTTCCCATTAATAGCATGGTGATTTATGACTAACAGTTTGCCATTGAAAATGACCATTTATAGTGAGTTTTCCCATTCATAGCATGGTGATTTTCCCATCAGTTATGTAAACGTTTACCAGGCCGGGTAGTACGACTAGGTAGGATTTGACTTTTCTATCTTTTTTGGGCCTTGCTGTGTCACTATGTTTAAGCCGAAAAATTCTGGGGAAACTGGGGAAACTAACTGGGTGGCTAGTGCTGGCATTTTTTTTAAGACACTCCCTTAAAGTTGTCTTTTCATGTGGAACCCCAATTGATTGGATAAAGATTGGTGAAGGTTCCCATTGATTGTGGTCATTTGTTTTGCGTGATTCTCATCTGACCCAATTTACCCAACCTGGTTATGACATTCACAGTTTGCCATGGTTTTTCGATGGCCCTAATCGAAATAGATGGTGAACAACTGGGTTTAGCTATTAAAAATGGGTGGATTTTCCATGGCAAACTGTGAATGTCATAACCAGCTTGGGTCATACACTTTTCCACGGATTCCCAGGCAAAAACGAGCTTCAAGCTGGGTTTCGTGGTGAAACAAGCTGCAAAAAACCCATCCGTTTCGGTTGGGTGAAACGCAAAGGAGGGGCCAGAAGCAAAACAGCCTGCCGGTTGCATGACATGTTTTCAGACTGTCGGATCAGCTCCAAAGAAATCCAAATTTACCCTCTGGTGAACTAACATAGCAATGGAAAATCACAATTTTTAATGGGAAAATCCACTATAAATGGCCATTTTCAATAGCTATTTTGACATAACCAGAGGGTACTCATATCCAGGTGAAATGTAACATACACACCGGACCTTCAACGGCGACTTAGCGCGCACCGTTCCGATGAGCTATTGGAGGAGCCGTGGAAATCAGCAAGACAACAGCGCAGCCGCAGGGCCACAACCAGCATTTTCATGGGCAAAAAACATGATTTTGATGAGTGAAACATAGTGAAACCATCATGGGAATGGTGACTTTGGTTATAGATGGTTATATCCCTATGAAATCAAAATTATATGGCAGTGTGTCAAAACCTATAGTACCCCTGTAGTTCACATCAAAATAGCTGGGTTAATATGGATGTGAATAACCCCCTATATTAATGGTATTAATAGGTATTGATCCATAGCCATTTTGATGAGTGAAACAGCAGTGAAACCATCATGGGAATGGTGACTTCCCTGGCGAAACCAGCGCCATGTGCCCAGGTTTCGTTCCGCCATGCCCGTGGGCGAATGGGCCTCCAGCTGGCTCTGCGTGCGGCGACATCTCAAGGGTCCCGGAGGTTGGGCGCGGGGGCGAAACGACTGGGAGGAGTTGCCTGGCGATTTCGCTGCGGGATTGATGCAGCAAACATGGAGATTTCTGATGATTTTAACAAAGCAGAAATGGTGATTTGGTGATTTATGATGATTCAACATAGAAACATGGTGATTTATGATGATTGAACCAATGGTAATTATGATTCAACCAAGAAACAGGGTGATTTATTCTGATTCAAGCAAGAAAAATGACGATTTGCAATGATTCAACCGACAATGACGATCCGTTATGATTTCATGAGCAAACATGGGTTTTGATGAACAATTGAAAGCAAGCAAGACTGTGATTTAGGGACCCCAAAACGGGGATATAGCCAGAAACATTGAAGCAGGGACTCAGACCAGACGTTGGGGTGTACTCTGGGAGGTAGAAAGATGAGGACTTTTAGCGAAGTAACCACCTCCAAACATGGTGGTTATCGTTTTCAACAAAGATATTTATACTGGTATTTATACCTCCAACAGCTGAATTGGTTCCACCTATCCACCACCAAATGGATGGTTGAAAGTCGAAGCTCTATAATCATGGGATGGAAACCTTATCTGGTTGGTGGTTTGGAACATTTGGATTATTTTCCCATTCACTTGGAAATGTCATCATCCCCACTGACGAACTCATATTTTTCAAAGGGGTGGCTCAACCACCAACCAGTTGTACAATGAGCTATAGTAATAACTGAACCATAGTAATAACAGTTATTGATACTATCAGTTATCGTTTTCAACAAACCATGGTTATTACCTCCAATGAACCATAGTAATAACTTTAAGCTGGCTGTGACTCTACTGAACGTTGGGAGCTTAGAAATCATTTCTGGTACACAAAAACTACGATATTTAGTGATACATTAATATATTAGGTATATATACTAGTATATTATATAGGTATATTAGGTATATAGTACTACCAAGATGTATATAAAATCACTAAATAGACTAACATATAGATATATTATGTATGGTACATTTCTTAGATGGTAATACCCAAATCCAATATCATGGATGGTTTAATGCATAATATATATATATGTGGATACCCAATCATTTTGCCTAACCCATTTTTTCTGCTTTTGAGAAATCATTTCACTGATCCCTACAGCCTTGCAACCGTAGTGAGTGTTCGAGGAACCCCTCGAGCGACTAACGGAATTTCTTGAGATTGAGCGCATGAATTTTCATTTTAGGGTTGGCTTGCTGGTCACTTACATCCCCCTTTTTTTCTTGGCTATTTTTGGGGTCCCGTTCAGTATTTCCTGTTGCTGGTCATCCCACTTTCTGTGCGTCTTTACTGGTTGAAGAGTTTTCAAACTGCTGCAACCATGATGATTGGTGGTTTGGACTATTTTTTTAATATTTTTCCATTCAGTTGGGAACAATAATCCCATTTGACTTTCATATTTTTCAGAGGGGTGGTGAAAAACCACCAACCAGTGTAGTCATATGGTTGTTTCCAGACAGTTCGGGGCTCACCTCAGACCTCATTCCTGTGATCTGAATGATCTGAATGACGGTGAGATCCACATTTTCCTGGTGAACTACCAGTGATTGTTGATCAAGTTCCAATCTACGTATCTCTAGACCTCTCTCTCTCTCTATATATATATACCAATATCTCTATATCATGATATTTATATCTACTGTATAGATATAGATTTATCTATAGATTTATACACCTACATACACATATATATAAATACGTCCATCCACCCATCCACATATATATATATATACATACATACATACATACATACATACATACATACATACATACACACATATATATATATATACATCTATATCATCTATACATCTATGTCTATGTAAATATGTATATACATTACATCTATGTCTATGTCTATGTATATGACTTCTCTGTTTCGCCGGTGGAAATCCCGTCATCATTTAAAAAACAGGCCGGCCCTGGCATGGCCACGGTGCGGTGATCAAGGCATCCTTCGACGAGAAGGTGGGATTAACGGTGGGACCATGGGGAGATCATAGAGGACCAACCATAGATTAACCATGATTAATGGTGGTTAATGGTGGTTTGAACCATGGTTGGAATGTTTCCAGAGGTTGATGATGGTTAATGATGGTTAATGATGGTTAA